GGGGTAGCTCATTCCAGAGGGTGGGAGCTCCCACAGAGAAGGCCCTCCCCCTTGGGGTCACCAGCCGGCACTGTCTGGCCGACGGCACCCTGAGGAGACCCACCCTGTGGGAGCGTACAGGCCGATGGGAGGTAATCTGTGGCAGAAGGCGGTCTCGAAGATATCCTGGTCCGCTGCCATGGAGCGCCTTAAAGATGATAGTCAGCACCTTGAAGCGCACCCGGAAGGCCACTGGCAGCCAATCAAAGCACAATTCCCTCCTCCAATTAACAATTCCCTCCTCCAATTAACAGTCATGAATCACATTCTCCAATTAGTTTGAAATGCAGTCTTTCTCTCCAGTTCTCCAGCCCCCCAATTCTTATCATCTCTTATTTCAATAACCTTGGTTCACACATTAGGTTCAGTATTATTATGTCTAGCTAAACTCTCATGCACATTCCTCTCCCCAGCATCATCTAACTCTAACTCTAAGAGTAAAACATAAGAAGAAAGTGGTTGCATCTCCATCTGTTGTCAAAGCAAAAACATCCGAAGTTAGCAGCCTTGACAATTAGTTTTTGCGTAGTACACTTTGAGGAATAACTCAAGAAGAAAGAGCAGAAAGGACCTATTTGGGTTAAAATTTAGCTACTGTCCCAAACCTTATCACCCTAGAACTGTATTTAAATGGGGCAGCTTCATTAGCTTGCATCCTAAATCCTCTTATAACTACCTAGCCAAACACAGGGGGTTGAAAGTTGCTTTCGATTGTTTTGCATCTTGGCTTGATTTTGCCCTGCTATTTTCTTTGTATTGTAATGTATGCATGTAAAATAGCTGTGGGCAATAGGCAGCCTCTCACAACTCTTTAGGGTCTTCCATGCTACTCCAAGGTACCATTCAGTTGGCTAAAGTATCGCAGCCCTTTCTTCACAGTTACGAGAGAAATTCTATACCAATGCTCGGAGGAAAATAATGCAATTTTACGCAAAGTATCATTCTTCAATACTGAGGAGCTGTTTGCAGATATGCAATGATTACTGAAAATGTACCAGCCCTTGAGGAATGGGAGAAGGACCAATTATTTTCCCAGCCGCATTACGGTGTTTCAGAAGCTTCTGAACTTGCCTCACAATTAAAAGAACTAAAAATATATCTTTAAATAATTCTGAATTTGTTTTTAAAACTAAAGAAACAAACTTTATTGGGTGATCCCAAGAAATCTGTCCTCCAGAACTAAAAATACTTTAAAATGTGTTGGACTAGACTAGTCTCTTTCTTGAGAGGAATAGAAATAAGTTTTAAAATTCACTATTTGGACCAAGAATACACAACCTGTTGACTCAAAGTTAGTGGGGTTTATTGAAGGCCACATCCAAAAAGCCTATGATGGGGGAGTTAAGGGTGAAGGGAAAGCACAAAATGGATATTGAGGGTCTGATGGTGACATTTGGACTGACTGTTTTTCACCTTTAAATTACATCCTTTTGTGTGAAGGATGTCTTGATATCTTGCTGGTATAAATAAATTGAGAAAGCCTGACTATTGTGCTCAATATAACCAAAAAGGGCAACTATCAGTGTTTATTTTTTTATTTATTGGAACTCTGCTTACTTGCACAGAGTTCCCAATACAATACATAATAATCACGTCACTGGTGTTTCAAGGAACCTACTAAATTTACTGCTAGCTATGCAAAAGTTCCCAAGTTTTTCTTTATAAAGTCCCCAGAAGAAGCTTCAACATTCACTTTCTGAAGCACTACTATGAGACAGAGAAATTTTTATTCTTTTAAAAAAAGTTTTTATGTGGATGAAATATGAAACTATTATTTAAGTAGTACAACTTTTCTGTACAACTTTATATAGATGGCAGACTGCTTATTTTGATTGAAACAAACTTACTTTCTTCTCTATCGACCCATCCACAAGCATATGCAGCATGCACACATGTATAGACATACACACCCTGGACCTATTATACTCTCATTTTAGGACAATACTACACATATTTATCTTGAATTCATAAGCAGTGATACAAGAATATAGACAAAATGTTTGTCTTTCCAAATATGTTCGTGTGTGTCGGTTTATGCATGTAGGTTTTGTGTGTGTGTGTGTGTGTGTGTGTGTGTGTCTGTATACACACAAATTCCAAATTTAATGAGGGTTTTATATGAAACAAATTTCTAGAATTCTATGCAAAGGCATCTTAATGTCAAACTATGGCATGATGAAAATTTGGAAAATGCAATTTGTTCCAAAGAAACTAAAGTGCTGATTACGAAAAACAGTACCTTACCTGTCCTTATAATTGATCACTGTATCAATTATGGCGTTCATTTGCTTTGTCAATTTAGGTGGATTGGGTGACAATTTTTCAGCTGGGGGCCTTCCTCTCCTCTTTTTTGCCTTCTCGCCGTCTTCTTTGCCCGAATCCTTGTCCACATTTCTTCTCCTTTTACGTTTTTTAAGCCGAACCTCCTCTTCCATTTCTTCCAAGTTGCCGTCTTCAATTGCCTATTAATTAGGAAAACAGGAAAATATACACAGATTTGTAAAGATGCACAGAATAAATATATACTAAATGAAGTCTAAATGGTACAAAGAACTTTGTAATGTTTATGAGCTGAACAGTTTGCAAGTTCAAGTTGAACAAAAGAATTTTAGGGATCATCAACCGTCTTTAGAAACACAGCGATACCATTGTTCGTAAGTAGTCTGATTGTAGAGAGAAAGGCCAACCCCAAAAGACATTTGTTGCTACAAGAGTACACACTCAATTAAGTAATGATCCATTGTATTCTTTAAAACAATTACATTCAGACATCATTTTAAAGATATTTTTATATATAGGGCAATTTTAACAAAGCAAAACAAAAATTCCTTCAAAATATATTCACACACATTCCTCTTTTCGCAAAGGAGTTTACAAACAGAATTTCAAACAATGTCTCCATATTATACATCTAAAGCAACGTGTTTCCTTAATACAATGCCTACTCACAATGCAGAAGTAGTAAACAATGCATTGTTTGATACCTAAAGAATAACAGCATTATGGGGTGAAGAAGAAACAACACAATTCAAACACATTAAAGGCAACATATACTAGTTTAAAATTTACCTGCAAACATGAACCTTAAATGACAGCCAACAACACTATACAATGACAGAATGAAAAATGCTGCAAAACCAGATCTGATTTAAAAGAAATTGTTCAGACTCTCAGAA